ATTTCCATGACATTGAATTTATCGTATGTGTTATTGTAATAACTGCCATTGAACCAATATATATATACATATATATAATACAGAATCAGAATTCAGATTGGAATACCTTAGGCAATGCTTGTCGACGATCGATGTGCCCATATCATTGAGATTTACCTGTTAAGATAAGTAAAATTCTTAAAATTTGCCTTATCATAAGATTATACAGGACTTGTCAATAGGTACTATTTTTTCTGAGTGTTCGATCTTTGTATTACTAATTATTACAAACTAGAGGAGTAATTTCACAAAAAAATATTGAATATCAATTCAATAAGAATTTAAAATATAGGTACTAATGTTAACAAAAAACTTTTAACATGAAATAATTTAAAATTCATACAATTATCAACATAGTGTTATTTATTAAACTTTGTATGGGAATCCATATAAATACATGTTCAGAGGGAAGATCTCTATGCGACCACAGATAATGCAGTCAAAGTCGCAACGAACTACTCAAAGACAATATAGTTCTAAAATACAAAAAGCATCGTCATGATAAGCAGATGGGAACCCGAAAATATAGTTTGTTAGATATTTGTTTGTTGTTAAATATTGTTAGATAAATAGCGAAACATGGTCGTATCATTTTTAACAGAATTCAAAAAAGAATGAGGTTTTCAATTCGACTATAATTTTTTTTCGGCATTTGTGAACCGATTTTGATGATTCTGTTTTTGTTGGAAAGAGGGTACCTCGGTAGTGGTCCCATTTACTTTTAAGAAAATATTTCCGGTAACTGATTTAAATAAAGCTTGGCAAATAGATCCACGAACTTTTGAGGTCGGTTTTTTAGTACTCTATACAGAGATTATACTATATAAAAACCTATATACAAATCCGATATGAACATAATTATTTCAAAGAGAATTACCCCGTATATATTAAACTGCTCGGGTAATATTATTTGTTAGATGTGAAATAAAAAAAAATATTTGGAAACTTAGATAAAGATATCATATTAGGTATAATTATAACATAGATTGTAGTATGATTTCATCGTTAGTAATTTGGTACAAGTAATTATGGTTTGCAAGGGCGTAAATCCATTGTAATTATTTTTTTTATGATACCAAATGACGGGACGAACAAGATCGTGCGCCTGATGGTAAGCTACACGCTTGTCCATAGCAGTTGCGGTGCCACTTAGAGATTTAAATCGCAAAGATCTGAGGGGCGCTGCGTCTGTCACCCTGAAACATAAGTTGTCCCAGAACCGGAACGTAGCAATGCTCACATTACTGCTTGGAGGCAGAAATAGGTAAGGTGCAAATATTTCCCTGGGCGAAGGCTTTGACAAGGAGCTCTACTGCTACTAAAATGCGTAACTAGTATCTCTAACAGTAAGGCCCCATTGACTTTGCACTTAAAAGTTTCGAAAGCCTACGTTTTATACGTTAAGTATATTTTTTATTATTATTATCTAAAACTCTATGCGTGACTGTACCAGTTAAACAACTCAGTATATAATATGCCACTTACATGCGAAAATGCTGCGACTTTACATAACTAGACGCTATAAACACTGCTATATCTGTACCATACACCTGTTGCAGCTGTTATCAAAAATACTATTAACAGCGTTAATTTCCTTTTCATTCTCATTAAATTATCACGAAACATTAACAGAGCAATCTTTTGAGTCTCATCTGTTACGTAATCATATAGGTACAGTGAAAGTCTACGAGAAATAAACTATAATCCTCAGTTTAGTTAGTTTAATGTTAAAATGAGTTCACATAATCTTTTAAACATTTTACATTAAATGTACATTGTTTATTATTCTAGTTTTTTTCTCAAAAACATAAATTTATAGATTAAAGTCGGTAGTATCCCACCGATTAGTGGTCCCACCCAGTAAACCCAGTGGTCCTCCCATCTTCCAGTCCACAATGCCGGGGCCAAAGAGCGTACAGGGTTCATAGAAGCTCCGGTTAAAGGTCCTCCCGCTAACGATAGTCCGGCGATGGCCAAACCAAACTTAATAGGAACAGAATCGGGCTTATCCCTATTCACCGGGTCCCAAACAGCACAGTTCAAAAAATTAAGCGCGGTAGTCAAAACTATCTCAATACCTACAGCTTGAAGTGTATTCAGCTGTGGATGCACTTCCGTCATACAAACTCCGTTTTCTTTTACTAAAACCGGAGACAATGTCGTCAAGATACCGAATCCTAGAATAGCGCCAATGCTTTCAGCAATCACATACGCTATCGCTTTCGATATAGAAATACTGCCATATAGTAAGGCGGCCAACGTTACAGCTGGATTCATAAATGCTCCTGATATGTGACCGAATATTTGGATATTGAACATGACCACAAGACCGAACCCAAAAGGGGCATACATGGCGTTCTGATACGGGAGAGTATCTATTGGTATCGTGGTCATACATCCCACCAGAAGCAATAAAGTCGTCGATATGAGTTCAGCTAAAATCGGCCTCCAATTTGAGGAACACCATTGCGCTACGACACCTTGCTCTTCACTAATCTTGTTGTCTACAATATTAATGATTTGCGGGGAGGACTGTGGCATCGTCATGCTCACAATAAAAAATATATGAACCCTTCACAAAAATTATAAAAAATATATAAATAGCTTTTGATTTCGTTGTCTACACGTCACAATCAATTTATCAAAATCATAGCACCGAAAAGTTGTTTAACATTCACAGCCGTTTTAGTTTGGTCATGGTCACTTATTATTTAATGATAAAACTGCCGATATATTTTGAGCACTTGAATTTTACGAGTGTATAAGTAGTCCCGTACACACGACTGTCTCGCGTCCGACGTGAGGTATAAATATTGATAACATTGCCCACACTGCCACTGCGCTCATGTCATCGTATTTAGTACGGTAGATAGTATTGTTATCTGCCTTCGCTTTAACACCGCAATAAACCACCGAATATGGAAAGTACATCAACATCTTCATATGATTTATGAAGCAACCAGCATTTTATCATTATTATTATTCTTGCTTTTTTTGCTATTCCTTGTCACTATGGCGTCCAACCTTTGACCATATGCCATTTCAATTGGGTTGCCAATTTTAGGTTTCTAAACATGGAAATTCAATGAATGACAAATGACATTTTAATTTGTATAAAGACAACAAACTATAGACTAGTCATAAAAAAAGGTATATGTATCATTAGCGTAGCCCACTACGATCATTAGGTATTTTAGAAAAAACCTAAAAAACTAGGACTCTTGTAACGTTTAGCAAAGCATAAGTTTGAACTTGTTATAAACTTCGTTATCAAATTTTTCAATTCATCTGAATAACCCTATAAGATCATATAAATTTAACTTCACCTCAATTTTTAGTTCATGTTCTCGCATTTTTTATAGCAATAACAAGATTTAAAACCTGTTTTTACGCTTACGCCTTTGTGACTTCAAAAATGAGGTAAACATTTACTGCTTTTTATAAAGATGCAAAAGAACCGTTTCTTGTTTTCCTCATATTATTTTTGTACTTCCTTTTATTACAAGGTCATGTCTTTTATTATAATTATTTTAGACACTATCAAGAGAAAACATTTAACTTTTTTTCACATCCAACATTGCTTTCCTCTCCTCCTAGTAGCCTAATGGTTTGACGTACCGCTTCTCAGGCGGAGACCGTGGGCTCGAATTCGGGCATACAATTTTGAGTTTTTCGGAATGTAAGTGCTAAATTTCATTTGAAATGTACTGTGACGTTACAGTGAAAGAGAACATCAAAACATAAATATGTATATATATATATATATATATATATATATATATATATATATACACATACATACATACTGTGTAGCCACAGTTCCTCCGCGAATGGGCTAGGGCCTCTCGTTTCATCTTCGACTCGTCCTCTCTTTTGGTCTGTAGACCTAGTTCAGCAAAATCATCTCACTACCTATTACGTGTAAAAAAGTATAAAAAAGGCGGGTTTTAGTACTTACAGTTTATCCATACGTTACATTTTTAGTTTACGTATTATTACGTTTTGAGTTTCCTAATTATTTCTTACCTGTTTAAGCTGATGGCTCCATAGCCAATGGTCAATAAATAAATAATAAATAATAATCTATTGCGTGTTACCATCTGATAGTTTACTGGTCGTTGACTTCTCAGTGCCGTACCCACCTGTCTTGGTATCACCACTTACTGTACCTATTTTTACAGCAAAACAATACTGTTGTGTTCCAGATGCAAGGGTAGGGAGAGCAAGGTGCACAGGGATGGCATTCCTTTTCTGTACATCTGGGGCACCCTGGGCAACAATAATCAGCGAGTACCTTACACGGATTGGTAAATTCTTTCACCATGATAGCAAGCATTAGTGTGTGCCATCAATACAACAGGAAGAAGATCACTGGCCCACAATTTACCATATCAAGTGAAAATGCTTTCAATCGGCGGTAAATGCATCTTATAAGTGGATGGTGTATAATAGCCGGCTTATGAAAAAAAATTTCATATTTTATTACAATTCTGTAAAAAATCTGTAGAGAAGAGAAGAAGAGCAGTAATAACATTTTTATTCAACAAAGGCAAAGTTACGTACTAATAAGTCATTCGAAGCGTTGCAATTCAATGTTTTACGTAGACATAACTATAAATTTCAAAATTCTAGTAGTACTGCTACTTTGATACAAAAATGCAATCAACCTACTTCAAACAATTGAGTAGATTTAATTGCCATGACATAGCAATAAAGATTTTCTTTGTGATAAATTGTTTGCTAAAAATTAGTTTGACAAAAGTGTGTCATATGTGTGTGTAAACAAGGTTCACCGTATTTTCTTATAGAATATTTTTCCCATCTTTAAATTACACTCAATGTTCGTTTATTTACCACAATTTGCAGATTACATGCCTCGTTAGCTAGTAATTAACTTTGCTGGCATAAAACAAAATGTTACGATCTACTTGCAAAGGTTAAAATTGTTGTTGTATTAAATTATAATTTTGTATCAAGTGTATAAAGACTACAATGTTAATTCTCTTCTAAACAACTGCAAGGTCGGTTGGGGTCAAACGCGTTTGAAAAGCGATTGCGTCTTTTTAAAAGGTTACCTACGCTGTCAAAACAAAACAATTAGACAACGTCGCCCTTCAGTGGACGGGACACTTAGGCGCCTTCAAATTTGACGCTTATAGAAGCACTGCAATGGCGCCACTGTGGCGTAGTAGCCGCGCCACTACTAATCTTCTTACAATATTTAGAAGCGCAGCTGCAACACCATAGTCTCGCCCCTGGTAGCATAAAACCTCCTTGTGAAAGACTTAGTCCAGGGAAGTACTGCCACCTTACCAATTTCTGCAGCCAAGTAGTAATGTGAGTATTACTTCGTACCGGTTTTCAAGGGTAAGGGTGTTGGTGACATTACAGGCACCTGGGACTTGTCAACTTATGGCTCAATATGTTGGGAGCAGTGGCAGTGCCTCTCGGATCTTCGCGATTTAAAGCACTGAGTAGTACTGCAACGCTCTGGTCAGGCGTGTCGCTTACCACCAGGTGCATGACTTATTCGTCCCGTCGCTTAGTACCATTTAAAGACCTGGAGCGCTTCTATAAGCGTCTGATTTGAAGGCGCCTTTAATATCCACTGCTCTCCATCAAACAACAAGCGTGTCAGGATTACAATTTTCCTGTAATTTTATGAAACGCAATTACCCCGTCGACAATTTCACGGTTGGCTAGTAGACCTCATAATATTTGTTAGTATATAATATAATTTTTCATTCACTCTTTTAAATCTGTGGCCCTACGGTTTGCACTGTGAGTTCCGGATGAGGAAGTCCAGGATAGGACCAATTCGGGAAATGAACTTTTCTAAATCGGTTCTAGTGTGGGTGTTCTGGTACTCATAGATCAATTCCCAAATTTCAGAGCAGGTAATTGATGTGCTTGTGTACACATTTTTTCGGGACAGTTGCTTCAGCTGTATCAGCACAAATCCGGTCGTGTATGTGAGTAGTGCTGCCACGTATGGGATAACTCTGCTAAATACCAACTAGTTACCTTGGATTCAATTGACAAGCTCGCCAAGAGGCTTATGTGTGACTCAGACTTAGTAGAGACGAAACTGCGGTCTTGAATACCGCCTACTTATCGGTAGTCTCCAGGATATATCACGGAGAGTGTGTTTGATTTAATTCCGCCTTCCCGTTTCCTGAGGTGGGTACGCTGGGGTTCCACTCCTATTTTCTGGATATTCCAAGAATTCGCACGCAGCGTCACGCTTTCACATTGGATTGAAATTCCCTGCCCGCAGATTTATTCCCTGAACGTTATAACTTGGGCTTTTTCGAAGCAAGCGTGAATAGGCATTGTGTAGGTGTGCATGCTTCATGGTCGACCTCATCGTCACTTACCATCAGGTGAGACGTTATAAAAAAAATAATTAAAGAGGTAGTGCAAAAAAAGGATATCGGCTTAGGCTTATTTGTAAGTATAGACATACCGGGAATTAATTCATAAGCTTACAAGGATTCGTAAGGCGTTTCTACCACCAGTGTATGACTATACATTCTACGTGAAACTTTAGTAATAAGACAAATTGCAACTTTTCTATGCGGATTCCTAATGCAGGCACGACAATTTACCAACCAATAAACTAATATGAGAAGCTATTGTTATGGAATGCGTAATAAAGGACAATTACAACTGTGAACAAAATCACTGATGAGACATCAGACACATTGTACACATCATATTGATTGTTCTATTGTTCTGATCGCACTGCTTGCGCCTACTCTTCACATGTGTTCGAAGACATTTCATATCTGCGTGTAATTAATCACGTTTATGTTGGTATAAATTGATAAAATAAAAATAGTTACTTTACCTTGGCACGTTTATTTACTTTTTTATCTAAATTGCCACAATTAACGTGCACCATTATTGTTTCATATTTTTAATAATACTTGACTGAATGGCATTTATTACACTTTCTTAACATTATTAAACAATTCACAGAAGCAATCATAAAGTGACTTAATTCGAAATGTTGTTATTGGAAAACAGACAAAGTAGGTTGAAACAATTACGTCATGCCGTAGTAGCGTAATGGTTTGACCTGTCGCCTCTCAAGCAGAGGCAGTGGGTTCGAATCCGGCCTGGCACATCTGAGTTGCTCGGAATTTAATTTGAAATTTACCACGAGTTTTTCGGCGAAGGAATACATCGTGGTGAAACCTGCACGTCGACGAAGGTTCACAATTTACGGAGAACGTGTGAATTGTACAACACACTTTGGGCCAGTGTGGCGGACTATGATCGAAACCCTCGCCTATGAGGAGACCCATGCCTGGCAGTGGGACGAATAAATGGGTTGATGATGACCTACTTACGTGTCACTAGCTACTTATGCCCTTTGTAAAGGTTTATATGTAAAATAAACTAATACGTTTTTATTGATTTTAAGGCTTTCGTGGTTATTCACTAAATAATTATCACTAATTACAGGTTCCGATATTTCTGAACGGTTACACGCTCTATGGTCACTGGTTGACTGGCCAACGGCAGATGACAGCTCTTAGAACAGATATATCTCTCTACCCTCTTTCGTTATGGACAACTACCCGCACCTCGATTACTTGTAGCGTTACCATTGTTGTTACCATTAGTTTATTTTTAGTAACAACCACACAGGACTTACTAACATTATAAGCAAGAACTTTTATCCATGACTTTACAAAACGTAATAAATACCTGTATTTGGTGGATAGTTGTTGTTTATGATGTTAGTAATATAGCCCTATGAAGTTGTTTGTGTCTTACAAATAACACTGTGTGTCATACGGCTGGAAATGAGAGAATACCTATTTTCAAGTTATGTAAAAAGTTAACACGTACTACTACACAGACCGACATGAAAAAAACACTATCAAATATATTAAATTAGGCTCGAAAACCCCTGTACATACGAATTATTTACTGGATAAAATCTTATAGTAAAAT